CCTGTAACTCTCTTTTCCCCCACATTCCACTATAAAGGTCTCCAGACTTCCCTCCACGCTAACAGCTTCAACATAAAGAGAAATTCAGGGTGGAGAAGCCAAACTCTACACCAGAGCCTGAACTTCAGCTGCTGAATGATTCAACAGTGATGGCCACACTGACCCAGCCCATTCTTAATGGCTCCCCCAGCACGTACTACCCTAAAGGCCAGTGGGCTAATGAGGGGGTCAGCATCTTGGAAAAGTCAGTGAGTACCAGCCTTGAGGGAAAGCTTATGCTGTCTGTATCTTCAACAATGGTTTAATTAGAAAGCATCGCTGTTTGTTAAATAAACACTCATGCGTTATGAAACACATCATCCACTCTGCCCTTCAAGGTTGGGACCTGAGTCCCTGGCTAAGAGAAAAGTGTTTGCTGTCTCTGGGAACTTCCCTTCCAAGCCCAGCCAGGAGGTTACCAGAGAGGACAATGAGTCAATAGCCTAGCATAATTTTCAGTGGTCAATTTAGGGGAAAAATCCTGTATGTTCAAAAGCCTTGCTTTGCCAGAGCAGTTTCACATAGTTCATCTATCCTAATGTAAGTAGGTACCTCTCGTTAAAGTGAGGGGTGCGGGAGGGAGGGGAGAGGAAGTGAGGTGGGTGAATAGTCCAGAAAAGGAAAGACAGACTGACTCACCCCATCAGAATACAAAAGGGTCACCTGTGGCTTTTGCTGCTACCTCCAACTCATCCTTTCCCAGACTCTTATTAACAGGCAGTACTTTTCATTTTAGAAAACACTTACTGAGGGTCTTGCTGCAAACAAAGCATTGCAGGATATGCAAAGAGGAGGAAGAAACATGGTTTACAACCCATTGGGTGCTCACTGGAAATGAGTACACAAAAAATTATTGCACAAAGCAAAGCAATGTGAGATGTTATAAGAGACACATAAGCCAATTGCTAGGGAGGGCTCAGAGGGAAGGCTGCAGTTCCCCTGCCCCTGTTCGTCTAATCCCGGGCCCACCTAAACCATCCCAGGCTGCCTCGATGGCATGCTTGAGTCTTCTGAACTTTGTTGAGGGCTTTTATTTATGCGATACCATTTTCTATACATCAGATGGCAATGATGACAAAGGTGGAAAATGTTCTACCAGGACAAACCCATGGACTGGCCCCTGGACCATAATCTGTGGGTGATCTGCAACCCCGAGAAGAATGCGAAGCCCTGGGAGCAGCAGCAGGACAACCTGCGGATCTGCTTCAAGCCATCCCTCTTCAGCACATGGGCACTCCTCGCCAGTAGGCAAGGTCCAGACACTGAAGGACAAGGACATTGGGAAGCAGGTGTCCAGAAGGAACACGTGACCCCACAGGTGGAGGGGGGCAGGAGCCTGAAGATGTAGCAGCACTTCCCCCTGGAGACGGCCTCCCTGCATGCAGGTTTCTCCTGGGCCTCCGTGGTGCAGGGCACTTGCTCCACTGCCTCTTCCCGGGCGTCTGGAGTGGTTCTTCCACAGCAGGAACGCTGGGCACCCCGAGGAGAAGCTCTTCAACACCTCTGTGCAGGTGCTGCCCTTTGATCACCCCTAGGCAGACTAGGGCAGGAGGGCCGCTCAGCCACCTCGGGTCCCCTCAGGGCCCTGACAGCCACCTCTAGATCACCTCCTTCTACAGGGTGCGGCAGGGGCGAGGTGGACCCTGCCTGCGGCCCCTGGAAGCACTGCACTCTGTATACAGACAGACTCTCGGTGTGGGTCATTCTGAACAACAGCTTTCTGGAAAGAATGGACTAAACCAAGGGATTCTGAGTGTGCCTTTCAGCTGAACTTGAAGCCCCTGAGAGCTGGGATGTCATGGCTGCTGACCCCAGAGGGCCAGGCATGCTGCCCTAGCCTGAAGGGTCTGTCTGGGGCAGTGCTCAGCGGCCCGCAGTGGCCACTGGCCAGGAGGCTCCAGGAGCTGGTGCTGCCCCTGCCTGCCTGTGGGCGGCAGGAGGAGGCAGGTGGCCCCCATGCTGTGCCTGAGGCCACGCTCCACAGACCAACCTTCTAGGAGCTAGGTCATTTTAGAAGAACTTTTTCCTTGGCGCCTGCTGCCTCCGGTACAAATACGGGAATGTACATACTACTTTGTGTGGTGTGTTTTTGATTTTTGGGTACATTTGATTTTTTCACCTAAGTCCACATATACTTCTGTAAGAGCATGACTTGTAACAAAGGGTTAATGAAGAAAAAAAAAAAACAACAAAGGTGGATAATGCCAAGTATTGTCAAGGCTGTGGCAGTTTGGGACTTTTTCTTGTGCATGGCTGGTGGGAGTTTAAACTGGTGCAGCCCTTCTGGAAAGCAATCTGGAAGTCTTTGGTGTAATTAAGCATGGAAATGCCCTATAACCCAGCAACGCCACTCCTGAGAGTATATCCCCAAGAAGTTCTCACTCAGCACCATGTACCACACTGTTGGAAAAAGCAGAGTTGGAGCAGAGTTCCAGCACTAGAGTAACAGATAGGGAAGACATGGTCGATGCGTACAGTGGAATGCTGTGCAGCAGTTACAAAGAAGAAACTAAATGCAAACACAGCAACATGAAAAGATCTTAAAAACATAGTATTGAATGAAAATATCCTCAAGAAATAAGAAACACATCAAGGAATATAGCACACTGCCATTAATATAAATTTTAAATGCATAACAACAAAATCATAGTACCTCTCTTACAACGGTATATGCTTATTTAAAGATATAAACTATTTAAAGATATAAACTATTGTAATGGGTGTCCCTGGAAATGGAGAATAGGAAGTATGATTAGGGATGAGGGCAAAAAATAAAACCAGGACGGGGCTGGCCCGGTGGCGTAGCAGTTAAGTGTGCACCTTCTGCTTCGGCGGCCCAGGGTTCGCCGGTTTGCATCCCGGGTGCGGACATGGCACCGCTTGGCAAGCCATGCTGTGGTAGGTGTCCCACATATAAAGTAGAGGAAGATGGGCATGGATATTAGCTCAGGGCCAGTCTTCCTCAGCAAAAAGAGGAGGATTGGCAGCAGATGTTAGCTCAGGGCCAATCTTCCTTGAAAAAAAAAAGAAATTAAAATAAAACGAGAAGGACCTTGCAGTATTGGCGATAGTGTGTTACAGACTGAAAGGCTTATGTTCAACTCTCTTTACCTGAGGTCAAAAGGAGAAAAAAATATGTGATTGATTTGGGCAAAATGTGAGATTTATGTCGGAACAGAATTCATATATAGTGTGGTGTAGTGGTTTAAGAGGACAAGCATTGACGTCAGAAAGATGTGGTTTTGAATTAGAACCCTATTGCTTATTAACCATGTCCGCAAGGATTAAAAGAGATAATATATGCAGAGCGCTCAGCATAGTGCCCACTGCAAAGCAAGCAATGAGTCAATGGGAGCTATTCATAATAGATAATATAATTTATCATTATTTTTTCATCTCCCTTCCACTTTCGTCCACACACCTTGAAACATTTTACATGGTAAGAAAATCATCATAAGCTTCTTATTGGCTTACAGTTTATACCCTTCCTACATCCAAGAGATTTGGAGGAATTATATATGATTATCAATGAGAAAAACAGAACAACCAGGGATAAAAACAGAGCAGATGTCCTCTAAAGGAAGGAGAGAAAGTAAATAGCAGCAGGTACCTGACCAGAAGGCACCTGGGCACAGAGGTTGGCCCAAGAACCATGGAAATGGAAGTGGAGAGGGAACTGTATGAGCTTCGTGGTTTTCATTTCATGGCAAGTAAAACTGGCAAAATCCTTTGCAGAAACACACTCTGCTTATATACTTTATCACTTGAGTTCTCGTGTTAGGACTATTGGATAACATGGAACACAAGACCTGCAACAAGTTTGGCAAAGGTACAGGATGTCCATCTAAACAGATGACGCATGCACTGAGGGCGGCACGTTGTTAGGGAAGAGAAAGGGAATGCTGAAGTCATATGTTTGGGTCTCTTGCTTTCTCATAACCTCACTAAACCCAGGGTTTCTACTATTATTCTACTCTAGAAGAATAGCTGGTGAACACGACTGTTAAGCAGTCTTTCTCACACAGTATAGTAAAGGTTCCAAGCTCTTGGAGCCAAACCACCTAAGTTCAAATCCCGCTGTGCCACTTACTAGCTCTGTGATCTTGGAGAACTTACTTAACCTCTCTGTGCTTCAGTTTTCTCATCTATAAAATGAGGGTGATAGTATCTATGTCATACAGTTGTTGTGAGGATTACATGAGTATTCTTAGGGCACTTAAAACAGTGCCGGGCACATGGTAAGCTCTACATGAGCTGTATGAGCATGTGTTCAGTAAATGAAAAAATAAATGTCAGATGCCATAGGCAAGCCTCTGGCAGGTGCTGGGTTGCAGTGGGTTCTGACTGAATTATCTAACAAGTACCTAGAGTGTAGATAATCTTTGATGCTTTAAGTACCAGCTGTGAGGGAGGCAAAGGTGTCTCCTGTGAACAGTTAGATGCTGAGCCTGTGTTCTCACCCAGATAAAACAGACTCTTTTTACCAGGCACTGAAGGGAGATGTGAAAGCACAGCCACAGCAGCAATCCTGTAGCTGTCACAATACCTGAAGGCCACTTGGTGCCTGGCTTTGTGCCAAGACCTTCATGCATCTTACTTCTCATCCTCAAAACTAAGTAGGCACTTTCATTAGCCTAATTTTACAAATGAGAACACTAAAGCTCAGAGAGGTCGAGTGACTTGTTGGAAGCCACACAGCCTATTAAATGTCAGTCACTTTGGGTCAAACCCTATGCTCTTTCCACTCAATTATGCTGTCCTTTCCTTATCCAATTAAATATTGGGGAATCAGAGGGAAGAGGAGTATTAAAATGGTAGATCGCCTAGGTGACTTTTCTTGCCATCATCTGCTAGGAAGAAACCCAATGACCCTAATCTATGCCTGGAGGGTCTTTGAAAATGAAGATCAGGCATTTGTTCACACAAAGGAGCTTAAAGTTGATATATTCCTTTTTTTCTAGTGCAACCAGCATGATGAATGATATTGATACGCAAGGCACACTCCCACGGCAAAGAATCTCCAGGGAGCACGTCAAATGCAGGTGAGGGGAAGTGATGCTGTTTTAGCAATGACCCTGAATCTGATCTGATTTACATTCCCAATAAATCTGGCAAAATTTCCATATTTGAATTATTATTTAGTAACATATTACATGTGATATATCTCACCACTGATCATGATACATCAACATGTCCCCACACCGAGGTTGATATCAGCTGGTTTAAGAAGCACCAGGAAACTTCACCCTCACATACATATTTCCTTTACAGTCAGTAAAATGCAATGCCTGATATTACAGCTTTTGAGATTTAGTTGAGTTTTGAAGGATTTTAGAGTCTCAAGAGCTCTGGATTAAAATGGAGATGCCATCTATGCTGTTATTGTTTAACAAATTAAATTTCAATTTAACCAGCTTCCTGGCATGCATCGCAGAATAGACATATGGATTAGTGCTGCCAGGAAGACTGGGCAGGCTGAAGAATAAGGAGAGCCAATGGAAACCTTCACTTCTTTTGTGTTCTCCTTGAAAAATGGTCTATGCCCACCTATCCAAAGCAGCCTGGGCTAGAGGAGAGGTTCCAGCCAAGGGGAGCAGGGCTGGTCCATGAGGGTCTACACACATGGCAACATTCCCTTTGGAAAGGGAAATTAGAGCTCCTCACCTTCCCGATCCCAGTCTCACATTTCAACATCATCAAAATTTAACATCTTTCCATAACAGCCAATTGCATTATTCATTTTGTTAAAAAGACAAATCTGAAACAACAAAAGAATGATTAAAGATGTAGCTTAACCTCTTCTGTTTTCCTCTAAGAAACAAGTTGTTTGTTTTCCTTATACAATGTTGGAAAGAATGTTCTTCTCTTTCTCCGGGATCAACATTATTCCATCATTGGCCCTTACTGATATTTCATTTTGAGTTTCTATCTTACCTATATAATCTATACCTAAGATGCACTTATAAAGGGAAATAATCATGTTCCATGGTAAGGTGGCAGATTTAAAGTTCCGCCAGATAAAGTGATTTGTCCAAGATCAAAGGCAGGGTGACTATCCAAGTCAAGGGTTCTGCCCTCTGAACCACACATCTTTGAAGCGGGGCAGCTGTATGGCATTCTCCACTCTCCTCTGTGCCCTGTTGCACTAGTGGAGACAGGATGAAGGATGCTAAGGGATAGTAGGAGCATGTTTGCGTGGCAACCAAAAAAAATAAATAAATACACTAGAACGTGGGCTCTGAGCCATTTCTATCCCTTCTTTGTTGTCAACCTTGGAAAAGTCACCAATCCATTACACGACTCGATTTTCCCATTTATGAAAGGATGATCTGACAAACTCTGCCTTGACCAATATATAAGGACATTGCCACAAAACTATAAATTAAGGCTTTTTGAAAGTTAATCTTATAGTGCTGTTTATTTTGTGCTTACTATGTACCAGGCACAGTATTATCCTCTTCATATCTGTCATCTCACTAACCCTTACAAATGTCCTTTGAAGTGGATGCCATTAGGGTCCCCATTTTACAGATGAGGAAATGGAGACAGAGATAGCAGGTGACTGCCTAAGACAACTCAAGCTGGTGAGTGGCAGAGTTGAGGGGTGAGCCCCACATCAGCCTCCAGAACCCGTGCTCTTGACTGTTCTGTGCTGTACATGTAATGGGCCACATGAGGGATTTGGCAGGACAAATGGATGAATTTGGTGGATGACTGGAAGGCGGGATCCAGAGACATATCAAATAGACCTTCTCCCCCAGAAAATAGGTTAGTTGTTTCAAGTCTGAAAAAGAGTGGAAGACACTCCCCTGAACCGCCCCTCCTGCAGATCTCAGAAAACTAGCCCACAAAGGCTAAAATGGCAGCAGCCAACACCCCTCTGCTCGAGTTCCTGGTGCTCTGAACATCCTGCAGGTGGAAAAGATTAACAATCAAAGGGGATGCTCGGGACCCGGAATCACAGACCAGCAGCCGGAACTGCTGCTCCCAGGTGTAGCCAACTTGGAAGATTCTGTGTAGAAGCTTTTGTTTGACAAAGCATGTAGATGTGATGAGAATTTTACTTTTTTCCTTTCCTTTGAAGGCCGGATTCTGGAGCCTCTGTCCTGCACGGGGCCCCCTCTAGCCTATTTGGGCCATGCTTCTGTGCTGTGGACCTGGGAGGGCAGCAGCAAGCACATGGAGCTGGGAGGAAGGGAGCCCAGCAGAAGGCTCCTACTCCAGCTCACCCACCAGAAACTGCACACCCAGCGGCACCTCACTCAGTCGTGACTGCCAAGCCGAGTAAGCTCAATGCATTCTCCCTTCTTTCTTTGTCTGCGACCAGTTTGGTGGTCCTTCTAATAAGCCCTTCATTAATTAAGAGGAGGTGTCAATGTGCCAACAAAATTAGAAGTTTCAATAGCTTCCTAAAATGGGAGTGTTTCAAAGAAAATGAAGGCTTGGTCACTCCCTGGTTATTTTTACTCTCTGCCACCCACCTGCCTTTTGGGCAATCTGTTCCCATCCTATTGCACCCTTCATTTCCCTCGACACACTCTTCTCTCCCTGGTTTCTGGTTCTTTTTAAAAATGTTACGCGTGTCTTTTCCCTTCTCTTTCCAACCCTGATAAATCCCAACTAGGCTGCATTTATTCCTCTCCCCACCCCACAACCTTACTGCCTGGTAGAGAGTTAATAAGCCATTTGCTGTGGGTACAGCTAAGTTGGGGAGTTATCTAGACCATGGATTTAAAGATAAAATTAAATGGGCGATGACGAAAGAAAAAGAGCGAGATTTAGATAAACCGGCTGGGAGGGTGGAGCGGGCTAGAAATATAGCGCTTGTGACAAAGCAGCTCAACTCCCAGGACTTACCAAAATTGGAACTTTGTTACCATGAAATCACAAGTGTTCCTCCTACTCAAAGAATAAGCACCATTGTCAAGCCTCCTGTGGGTGAATAACCTCCCTGGATTCTTGCTGACAGAGAGAAGCCTTTCCTACAACTCCAGGGTGAGGTGGGGGGGCGCCTAGGGCCCCGCAGCAGGAGAGGAACAAAGCTTCTGGAGCTAAGATTTGGAGGCAAACTCAATCTGGGGACCCCTGAACAGAGTGAGCCTCGAAATCAGCAGGGATGGCAGCAAGGCTTGCCGGCCAGTGCTGGAGTGTTTCACACAGCAGGTGGACATGAACCCCAGATGGTCACAACCTCCCGTTCTTCCTTCTCAGGGCCCTTCACACTGGCTGCTAGCTCGTCCATTTTAGGTGCTCAATACATTACAGTTGAAATGAATCCAAGACCCGGAGTACTTATTTGGGATCTGAAAACATAGACAAGGGATGGGGTAAAATGATCCAGACTTGCAAATAGTAGGGAAAAAGAGCTCTGCCTACAGACATTTTACCAGCCTATGTGGTTAAAAATAATAATAGTATTTACTTCACAGGGTTGTTGCAGAGATTAATTGAAATAGTCCTGAGAAAGTGAATTCACGATAAGTGTTTATTTTTATTTCCTGGCTTCATGCTGGTGTGAGCAAGCATGGAGGCAGTGGGCGGGAGTCTGAGTGGGGGCAATGATGCCGCCTGGCCCCTCTGCCTTTCTCTGATGAGCTACCAGGCACAGCAACGTTTCGGCTCCTTTCCTCGGTCATCATCCTGTGTGTTTAGAGAAAGAATCAGGACTTGGTATGTTTACCACAGGAAGGAAGAAAAGAATCAATTGTTAACACCTACTATGTGTTGACCAGTCTGCTGGTCACTGCTTGTTATTTGAGGAAGGTCTTATTTTCCACAAGTAACAGCTATTACTGAGGCTCTGGGAGTTTTAATAGCTCAACCATGACAATTCCGTTAGTACATGGTAGAATTAAGACTGAAATCTAAGTCTGTCTGTGTTAAAATCAACATATTCTGGGACACCCCACATAAATATCACACCAAGTCCCAACGCTGACCCTCTGATCCCGTGTCACTGGGGGCAGGGCCTGGCTTTTCAGACGCTGCCCAGGGTATCAAAACTAACTCGCCCTGTCTGAGAACCTCTGAGCTGCTTGATCTCTAAGGGCACTTCCAGCCCCAATATTCTTTAATGAGGAGAAGCTAGCATGATTTTTTTTTCCTAGGGAGAGACTTGCCTTTGTTAAAACAACAGGATGCTTTGATGAGCTCACTTACGGAAAAGGGAGAAGTGGGAGCTACGGGGATGGAGGGGGGTAAAGTGAGGAAGATGGGAGGGGACAGATAGAAGGAGAAAAGAGGAGAGGAAGATAGAGGGACAGTGAGAGGGAGAGGAGGTTGGATAAAGGGAAAATAGAAGAGGGAGAGAGAGTGTGGATATCAGTCAGAAGACCAAGTTCTGCATTTGGATTGGAAAGGGGAAAAAGAGAGAAAATATACATAGATAGTAGGGGAAAAATAAACTGGAACTGGGTTTTAATTCCGTAGGTCTATTCGTAAGTAGGAATAAAGCAAGTCTTGATCCTTCAGCTAAAGCCAAAAGAGGCTCAGACTGGCCCTTCTCTGGTGACATGGGGCCCTACATCTGCGTCTATCGCTCTGTAACTTGATGGTGAGAAGAGCCCCGTTAACTGAGTGCTATGAGCCATGTGTACATGTGCTCTCTTATAAATTATTTCATCTCATCTTTAACCATCCCATCAGAAAGGTTCTATATGACCCTTATTATATGAATAGAGAAATTGAGGCACGCAGAGGTTAAAAACTTGCACAAGGTCATTGAGGCTTAGTGTCGGGCCCAGTGTTTGACCCCAACCAATCAGGCCTTGCAACCCTCATGCTCCACCATTGTACTATATTGACTCCTAAAGGCTTTACATCTCTTGCCTCATTTGTTTCTTATAACAGAGTGACAATATAGATAAGATATATAGTACTGTCCTCATTTTACAGATGAGGACACCGAGGCTCAGAGAGGTCACATGAACTTGAGGTCACATAGTTGGTACATGAATGGAGCTTGGACTTATCCCCCAAATCTCTAAATCCAGATGTCCTGTGCTACCTCCAGTCTAATCCCCATGCTCAGGCATCCCAGGCAGAGCTCCCAGTGCCTTCTGCAGAGCAAGTTGATCCTTACTGATAATAGCCTACGCGCCTAAAAATATCTTCCCAACTGATGCTTGCCTGAAATTCTGGCATGAGATTATTTTTTTAACTATCCTTCTGATTTTCTTTAAAAACACAGTTACCATTGGAAGAGTAGTCACTTGAACCTCCCTAATAATTGAGCATGAGTGACTTTAGTAGGTAGTCTCCTTTTGGGCACCAACACCTAAGTTGTATCAAGGGTGCACAAAGAGGGAACTGTCAGGGAGAAACCAGGAGAAGGAGAACGTTATGGAGGTAGAAGCTTGCAGGACCAACTCTGTCTTCTCCTTTAGGAGTCCTCTTTAGGAAGCTGAAGGATTCCTAGAGGTTCTTATTTTACTAAATTGTCCAACAGAGAGAGTGAGGGTAATAAGGTAGAGGAGTGGGAGCAACCTGATGTTCAGGGAAGATCAGAATGAACAGATGAAAGAAAAGGAGAAGGCCCAGGTTGCAAGGAAGGAATGTATTCCAGTCTAAAAGTTCACTCAGCGTTCCCACAGCATCCTCATTCAGAGACAAGAGCTGGGAGGTTAATGGAATTAGAAAAGGTAAAATTAGATCACAAATTATGAAAAGATATGACCAACATCACTGCTAACAAGGCATTGCTTAGTTCATTCATACATTTATTCATTTATGCAGAAAATACTCATTGGGGCACCTGTGTACCTCCCACTGTTCCAGAAGCTAAGCACACTGATGAGGCACTGACAGTCCAATGGAAGCAATAGACACATGAAGAGATCATTATCTGAATCAATGTGGTAAGCTTGATGCACACAGGCTGTTGAAGCTTCGAGGAGGACATGTAATGTAGACTGGGAGTGTGGGCTCAGGAAACGCTTCCCAGAGGAAGTGGCACCGGAGATGAAGCTTAAAAAATGACTTATCAGGTGAACAGAGAGAGGAGGAAGAAGGGTATTCTGGAGAAAGGGAATGGCAACAGCAAAGGCATACAGGTGAGAACACAAAATAGTTTTGTTTGGATGAACAAAGACCTAACTTACTAGGTGCAGATGTGGTCCTGGGTGCTGTGCAGTTTTGAAATGATGAAGAAGGCAAAGCATCTTCTTCATAAGAGGATGGAACTGGTTAGGTTGGGCCTGGCTTTTCTGAGTGAAAAAATAAAATCTAGGGGCTGGCATGGTGGCATAGCAGTTAACTTCTTGCACTCTGCTTCAGTGGCCTGGGGTGGGCCAGTTCAGATCCAGTGCACAGACCTACATGCCACTTATCAAGCCATGCTGGGGCAGGCATCCCACATATAAAATAGAGAAAGATTGGCAAAGATGTTAGCTCAGGGACTATCTACCTCAGCAAAAAAAAAAAAAAAAAAAAAAAATGAGGATTGGTGGCAGATGTTAGCTCAGGGCTAATCTTCCTCAAAAAAAAAATTCTATTGCAGCTTCCAAAAAGAAAAAAATCTGATCCCCAAATCTTTCCCCTTGAGGAATCACCCTTGTTTTACTGAGGAGAGTCTAATGGGGCTGTCCTAAGGGACTTTTAGCTCCCTACCCAAGAGGTGGGATGTGATCCAAGCTGGGGCAATCAGATGGTCCTTCTCTGGAATTTGAATCTTGAGCACTAAAACTGGTAATTATTCATAGAATAGAGAAAGCTATTGATATTATATACTTAGCTTATAGCCATTCAACTTACCAAATTATCTTACTCAGTTAGCAAGTTTTTAACTAGAGTTACTTAAATTTCTTGATATGCAATCATAGCATCAACAAAAAGAGATCTTTTTAACTCTTCTTTTCTGATGTCCATACCAGTTATTTTATTTTCTAGTTTCATTACCTTGGAGGTTCTAGCAAATGTAATGATTACTATTGGTAACACGGGCATCCCTGAATACTTTTTGATTTTAATTGAAATGACTTCCAGGTTTGTCAAATTTGCTGTTTTTAGTAAATAATCTTTATGTATCTAAAGCAATCATCTTTTATTTCCATTTTACCTAGATTTTATTAAGAATGGCTTCTGAAATTTATCAAATGCTATTTGAGTCTGTATTGATATGAGCATTTTTTCTTTTTTAGTTAATAAAAAAGATTATGTTGATAGTGTTCTTCATATAGATTGCATATAAAATAAATATACAAAATCAATACCTTTTCTCTACTCCAGTAATAATCACAAAAAAATAGAAATAAGAAAAATATTTTATGTACAACAATCAATAAAATCTTTAAAATACTTGTGAATAAATTTAACCAAAAAACACAGAGGGCAACACAAAGAAAAGTGCAAAATCTTATTGGAAAATATAAAATAATATCTGAATGAAAAGAAAAGCATACTATTTTTAAATGGGAATACTTAACATGAACATGCCATTTGTCCCAAAATTAATATATTAATTTAATATAATTTCAACTAGAATCCCCTAAGATATTTTAATTGAATAAAATGAACATAAATTATATATGGAAGGATGAATTCCTGAAAAGAGTCAATAAATGAAAGGAAAAAGAAGAGCAAGGAGGGAGGACTGGAATGTACAGATGTCAGACATTATAAAGCCACCATAATGAAATCAACAAGGAATTATTATAGGGAAAGATGAGTAGATCTGAGAACAGAATAGGCAAACTAGAAGTAGACACTGGTATAGATGAGAATTTAATAAGTGCTGCAATTCAGTGGCAAAAGGATCGATTATTTAATAAACAGTCCTGACCCACTAGCTACCCAAGCAAGAAGCGTTACAGTAAGAGTGTGAGCTTCAGTGCCAGTTTCCATGTGTTTAATGCCCAGTTTCACCACTTTACCTGCTGTGTGACTTTTGGACTAGTTGCTCAACCTCTCTGTGCCTCATTTTCCTTATGTGTAAAATGGATATAGTGAAAAATAATCTATGTCTTCAAGTTATGAGGCACAGGGGTTAAATTAGCTAATACATGTAAAGTGCCCCTGTAACAGTGCCTAGCATATAGTTAGCTCTCTGTATGTATTAGCTATTATTATAATTATCACTAGGAAGAAAATTACTGTGGACCTCTCACTTACACTAAACACAAAAATAAATTTCCAGGTAGATTAAGATTTAAACGTAAAAAGTAAAAGCAAGATTTTAAGAAGAAATAATTAAAAAACTAAACACACTCTTCAGAGATGGGGATGCAGGAAACAGTCTCTATGAAGCCCAGACACCCAGAAGCTATATAATGAAAAAGTAGAGTGGCCAGCCCAGTGGCCGAGTGGTTAAGTTTGCACATTCCACTTCAGTAGCCTAGGGTTTCGCCAGTTCAGATCCTGGGCTATGCTGAGGCAGTGTCCCACATAGCACAACCAGGACTTACAACTAGAATATACAACTATGTTGTATATTAGGGGGCTTTGGGGAGAAGAAGACGGGGAAAAAAAAAAGAAGACTGGCAACAGATGTTAGCTCAGGCGCCAATCTTTAAGGAAAAAAAAAGACATTTAACTACATTAAAAAGTAACACATTTGATGGCAAAATATATCCTAAACAAAATCGACAAGTAATACACTTTGGAAAGACAAGAAAAAGACAAATATTTCCATTGAAGAAATGAGC